AGGTCTTCAAGGCTTCAGGTCGTCACCAGGCTTCAGGTCTTCAAGGCGTCAGGTCGTCACCAGGCTTCAGGTCTTCAAGGCTTCAGGTCCAGGCTTCAGGTCTTCAAGGCGTCACTAGGCTTCAGGGCTTCAGGCCGTCACTAGGCTTCAGGTCTTCAAGGCTTCAGGTTGTCACTAGGCTTCAAGGCGTCACGGCGTCAGCAGGGCGTCAAGGCGTCAGGGCGTCAGTAAGGACTCAAGCCTTCAAGGCGTCAGGGCGTCAGCAGGGTTTCAAGGCTTCAGGGCTTCATGTCTTCAGAGGAAAGTCACCCGGGATTGAGATATCCATGTGAGATACTCAGGTTGGCTTAACAGGATGAGGTATATTTTGAATGGCCCAGACATGCCCAGACCATCCACGTATGGCATATTATGGCATATTTAATCCATTCCAATATTCTAGTAACATTTATCTACATTGGGGTGGTTTCAGGGGTCAATGTAAATATATGCCAGTGACGTTCCGATGGTTTGGGTAGTGACGTTCCGACTCACAGACACTTTGGCGACCACGCTTGATGTCACACGGCCGGAAGATGCGTTGCCATGTGGAACAAATGTTGCGCTTCCTCAAACACTTGTGCTGCAAAAACAAAAGAGGTCCCTCCAAATGTTCCTGAAAAGCCATTGTTTCAGACATCTTTCCAGCCGCGGTTGCGACTGTTGCTGGCACCATTGGTGTCAGAGCCTGTCGCCGAGGTTTTTTGGTGGCCTTTACCACACTTCGGATGAGCTTTCCATTGGTGTCACGTGGCGAATGGATGAGTATGGATGGATAGGACCTTAGTTAGGAGGTCAGGTTTTGAGGTGCTTCTTCAGCGAGGCAAAAATCGATCCCACCAGCGATCATTAGAGGTTTGGGCATGCCGTCGATGATTTTCCCACCTTTTTGACCCACACTGTTCTAATGATCCTTTTCTCTCACAGGTGCAGTTCAAGGGTGTTGGCAATGTGTTGGCCGAAGTTCTGCGACGTGTGGGGCAAGCACGAACCACTGCCCACCTCCACCCGCACACCTTTCACTCGTTCCAGCCGACGGATGGCCGTGTAACCGAGGTATTCCCACCGGTTGCATCATAGCAAGGAGAGATTCCGCGGGGGGCGATGGGCGCCGGACGCTTGGAGAACTTCTGCTGGTTTCAGCCGATAGAGACACCTGGGTGAAACGAGATGAAACAGGGTCAACGTGACCGAAGAGCCTGGGGCCCGGCCCGAGTGGCAAATCCATGTGGTTTGGAAGACGGCACACGAGGCTTTGGAGCTGGACAAAAGGGGTCATCATTTGCCCAACAAGCTCACTGCAAGCTGGAAGAAGGCTGTCAATCCATTTGTGTTGAAAAGAAGCAAGTAGCAACTTAAGCGTAGCAAGTGCATCGCTAGTAGTAACCAGAAGCTACTACTAGTAGCAAGAAGCTACTACTAGTAGCAAGGTGCCTTACTAGTAGTAGCTAGCTACTAGTAAACTAGTAGAAAAGGAGATCAGACCCTGAATGCAAATGGTTTCAGATCTGCAACGAGCGGAATGGATGTTAGAAAATTCTCAGGAGCTAAGATGACCGGTTCTTTATCAACTAGCTCATCTCATTACCTTGATTGAACATGTTTGAACCAAATCAATAAGTGTTTCGTGTCCAGGCAATAAAACACGTCAACTCTCACAATGGTTTCAAGATGTCTTATTGATTTCTCGATATTTCTCCTAATGTGAGAAATTTTGATTACTCTCGAAACACCACAATGGTTATTTGATTACCACAATGGTTATTTATGAGGCTTACGCCTGACAGCCGGGCGCCGGCCTATTTGGGTTTGGGTATGTGCAGGGCTGGGTCCTCTCTCTCTCTCTCTTTGTCTCTCTGTCTCTCTCCCTCTCTCTCTCTCTCTCTTTGAGACTTGGTGGGGACTATATTGAGCAAAGTAAAGCTATCTGGCGCGCATCTTGGCCCTAGGTTGGGCCAAGTTGGGTCCATGTGGTCTATGTTGAGCACATCATGGGCCCATGTTGAGCCTATGTTGGCCCAGGTTGGCGCATGTTAGGCTTATGTTGGCCAATGTTGGCCCTATGTTGAGCAATCTTGGAGGCTATGTTGGGCATATGTTGGTTATCTTGGGGCTACGTTGGGGAAATGTGAGGCAACTTATGTCACCAACATCCACGAAATGTCGATTAAGCTTGTCCGCGCGGCACGCATATCCGACACCACCGGCGCCCTGTTAGGCGAAAGTCGTATCCGCCGAAGGCCACGAAGCACTGTAAAAAACGATGTTTTTGAACATTTTTTGAACATCCCGCGCAAGACACATATAGATCTGTCGACCGGATTTGGGCGGGGGTCGACCGGGGGTCGACACGGGGTATACACGCGGCTCAACAAAAGGGTCGGCGGCAGGGGCGGCGAGCGTATATAACCTTCGGTTACCAACCGAAGGCCTCCGGCAAGGGAACGTGCGCGTGGCCGGCGCCCGGATTTACCAGGCTACCGCCTGCAGCCGCCGACCCCAAGGGAAAATGTAGTGGCAGGGTTGGGTCCCGGGATGGTCGCGGGCGGGGTCCTGCCAAAATCTAGACAAAGCCAAGAGCATTCCTACGAAAATGCTGGAAAAGCCGTATAGGCATGAGTACAACAATGGAAAAATAGGTGTTAGCAAAAGGTTACCAATTTTTGGGGGAAATCTGGGAACCTAAAAACAAGAGGAAGCGCTAGAAAATTCTTGGAAAAGCATCCAGCCGAAAACGTAACAAAATCTAGACAAAGCCTAGAGCATTCCTAGGAAAATGCTGGAGAAGCCTTTGAAAATCCCATAAATCCAACAGAAACCGTGACAAAATCTACGAAAAAGCAAGGGCATTGGCCGGGACCACGCCGCGACCAGCCCGGGATTCGAGCCCGGGACCATTTTGGACCGTGCTTATTTTCCCGCGCGGGTGGAGAGGGTGCCCCAAGATGTAAATCAATTGGGATGGCAGAATCTTGGACAATCCAGGTCGCCATCACGTCGCAATCAGGTCGCAATCACGTCGCAATCAGGTCGCAATCACGTCGCTTTTGGGTCGGGATTTCGTCACTGCAACAAGGGTCCGGAGGGGTAGGGGAGGTAAGGTCTAGGTCTAAGGCTAAGGACTAGGTCTAAGGCTAAGGATAAGGCTAAGGCTTAAGTCTAAGGCTAAGGCTAAGGCTTAAGGCTAAGGCTAAGGCTTAAGGCTAAGGCTAGCATCGACAGTCACGCCTCACCCCACGGTGTGGGGTCGGCGGATTCCTAGGAAAAATCAAGGGCATTGACCGGGAACACTGGCATAAAATAGGTTAGCCAAAGGTTAACAATTTTGGGGGGAAATCTGGGAACCTAAAGACAAGAGGAAGCGCTAGAAAATTCTGGCAAAAGCATCCAACCGAAAACGTAACAACATCTAGACAAAGCCTAGAGCATTCCTAGGAAAATATTGGAAAAGCCTTTGAAAGTTCCATAGGTTAGCAAAAGGTTACCAATTTTTGGGAGAAATCTGGGAACCTAAAAACAAGAGGAAGCGCTAGAAAATTCTTGGACAAGCATCCAGCCGAAAACATAACAAAATCTAGACAAAGCCTAGAGCA